TTGCAAGCAAAGGGTCTCCTTGTTTTGTTTGGGATCTTATTGTTCAACTTCTTTTAGCTTTTGTGGTGTAAGTGGCAGAATAAATCTATGTAGACCGTGAACTGTAGAATCATTATGTTTGGAAATTGATGGGTTGGATGGATTTTAGTACCATATCTCTTTTTTGCCGGAGAATTACAAGTAGCACAGGCATTTAGTGACGTTGCACATATAGAATGCTTACAAGTCTATGCGTAGGCTAATAGTTACTGTTTATTAGCTCAACGATTTAAGGGTGAAAAGAATTGTAAAAGTTTACTCCCTGTAAAGCGAATTGCTTCGTGCATTACTATTTTCTTTAGTTCAATCTGGGTCACTGGAGTCTGAACTCTGATCTATTAACAGTAAGTGCTGACCACTGTCTTGGCATGCCGAAGTAAAACAATCCATTTTTTTCTCTGGGTTTTGAAGTGGTTTTGCATTTTAAAGCCATTTGGGTAATGTGCCTACCATACTTGTACAGAGTTGTCACTGCCAATTCTGCTCTCGCTTGCCTGTGTTTGAATATGTATGCGAATTTCACTCATGCTGCTTGTACTTGTCTTTTTCTTGAGATTGATCGCTTGTGTATAGACCATGCACTGAGTCACTGACGTTTCCAATTCATTTTTGCACAATCTCTGATTAAATTTGGATAGGGCACCACTGTTCGTGTAGAATTTGGTGATGCAACCACAGCTGCGGATCTCACAGGTTCCCACACCATAAGTAGGTCTTTTCCTCACACCTATGGTCAACCAATAGCTCACTTTCTGAGGGCAACTGCCAAGGTTCCTGATGCTCAGATAATTACGGAGCATCCTGCAGTTAGGTATATATACAACTGACTAGTCAGTTCTATCATTTGAATGGATTTAGAGTGTTATATTTGGAATATCAACATTTCAGAGGGTAATCTTGTGCATTACAGTTTTATGCTGAGGTTTTTGCTCAACTTTATTTATTACTTCCCAGGGTAGGAGTGGTTTTCTGCGGTAGACAATCTCCTGGAGGACACAATGTTGTTTGGGGTCTTCTGGAAGCTCTTAAAATCCACAACCCTAACAGTGTTTTGCTTGGATTTCTAGGTAGAGTTTAATAACTTTTTTATGATTGATGAGATTCTGTTCTTTTAAATCTCACATGTACGTGCTTGTATTTATTTTACTTATTTTCAATGGAAGGTTTTGATGTTTGCCGCAGTACTTATGTATGCTCAATCAGTATATTTTGAGTGTTGTGTTGTTTATCACACTTGAGTTCTTTACATGCAGTTTCCCCTTTAGAGTTTAGATAGATCATAGCAATATCTTTAATCAGGGATTAACGTATTAGTCTTTTACAATGTTTTACCAGGTGGTTCAGAAGGTTTATTTGCACAGAAAACATTAGAGGTTACTGATGAGGTTCTTGCAACCTACAAAAATCAAGGTAAGTTAGTTCATATAAATCCTGAAGTAAATATTTAATAGTTAACTTGTGCTGATTAGGTTTTATGTTGTAAGGTGGTTATGATTTGTTGGGACGAACACAAGATCAAATCAGAACGACTGAACAAGTCAATGCAGCACTTAATGCATGCACAACTTTGAAGCTTGATGCTCTTGTAATTATTGGAGGTATACTTATTGATTTTCAGGCACAGAAAAAAGCTAGCATGTAAAAATTAATACAGTATCTTGATTCCTGTGTTTTGTTTATGAAGGTGTCACATCAAACACAGATGCTGCCCAGCTTGCAGAGACTTTTGCAGAAAGACAGTGCCCGACAAAAGTATTTTGCATCACCTTCTGTATCATCATAATATTTCTTCTATTTCAATTTATTGTCGGTCACTGAGCCTCCCAGTCTACATCTATATTTTTTTATTTAATTTATGTCAGTGTCCATCAAGTTTGACCCACTAGAACAATGCTTCCAGCCTGCCATTTTCATTTGACGTGTGTTATTGTTTGATGCTGTTGCTGAGCTAAAAATGTTTGTTAAATTTGAACAGGTGGTTGGCGTTCCTGTTACTTTAAATGGAGATCTTAAAAATCAATTTGTTGAGGCAAATGTGGGTTTTGATACAATTTGTAAGGTAATAGACTTCAGTTATGGTTTCTTGTTTACTTTCTTCCTGCTGTTATGTTAACTGATAGCATTTTCTCCCTCGCTCTGGTGGTTGACATGTGATTGAAATGTGAGCCATTATGTCTTCACTCAATTTATATTCCCCTTTGATGTTTTTTCATTGATACATGTGTGAGTCCGGTTAACTCTATAGTTAGTGGATAGTATGTCTCTGAACTTGGTGAAAGTTTGATTCCCATTTTTTATAGTTTATCATCAGATAATATTAAATGAAAGCTCTTGGACAAGAATGAAATGGAGTTAGTTGTTTATTTTCTTAGATCATGAAGTGATTTTTCCAATGTTGTTCATGTATTGCAGGTTAATTCACAGTTGATTAGCAATGTCTGCACTGATGCACTCTCGGCAGAGAAGGTAACTATTTCATGTCAATTATTTCTGCTCTTGTTTTCAGGTTGCCTTAAGGAGTTTCAATGAATGTCGTCAGTTGCCTCTCAATTAATAATTTGGATTCTTAAGAAACGAGTTGAATAATGCATTTGGCAATTGAAACTCTCTATTTGAGATGTCTGGAGTCGTATAGAACTTTACTGGCTGCCCACAACATCCTTTTTTTGTCTTTAGAAGACATGATATTTCATTTTCTTGTTAGTTCTTGTACAACTCATCTTCATTATTTTCTTCTTTCTCTCCATCCATTTGCAGTATTATTATTTTATTCGTCTCATGGGGCGGAAGGCTTCACATGTCGCGTTGGAATGCACACTCCAATCTCACCCCAATATGGTTTGTGCTTTGATTCCTCTTTGATAGTCTGATGGAACAGCGACACTGCTTGATACTTTGAGTTTTCCTTTGTGTTTTTGAGAGTTTTTATCATTGTTGCAGGTTATTCTTGCCGAAGAAGTGGCCGCATCAAAACTAACACTTTTTGACATCACAAAACAAATATGTGATGCAGTGCAAGCTAGGGGTGAACAAGGTAGAATTCGTAAGGAGCCCTTGTTGATATTTTAATTTTAACAGCTATTGGTTAACTTCTGATATATTTCTTTCTCCAGATAAACACCATGGTGTCATCTTATTGCCTGAGGGGCTCATAGAAAGCATTCCTGAAGTCTATGCACTACTGAAGGTAACCATCATTGATCATTGGCTTCTCAGTCATTTTACTTTGCCCTATCTCACTTCCCATTCTCAACATATAAACTTACATTGAATTTAGCAACGCAACTCGTGACGCTTTTAAAAGGTTAGGTAAATTTGTTTGTGACGCTAATAAGTGTCACTAAGCACAAAAAGAAAAAAAATAGGTTACTAAATTCCCTTTTTCTTTTAGTGTTCTAAATATGTTGAGAGCTTAGTTGCTTATGACAAAATCTGGGATGTTAACCGCCCTGTTCTTTTTTGTGATGATCTTATTTGATAAGCAAACAATTTGATGTTTCTCCATGACTCCATCTCCCAGGAAATTCATGGCTTGCTCAGGCAAGGTGTTTCTGCTGAAAAAATTTCTGCTCAACTGTCACCATGGGCATCTGCGTTGTTTGAGTTCCTGCCTCCATTTATTAGAAAACAGGTACATTTTAAGTCCTTTAATTATGTTAAAATGTGCATATTATTCATCTGCTTGAGTTCTCTTGCTTACTCTGAAAGTGGTGTTGTGTCAGCTCCTTCTTTACCCAGAATCTGATGACTCAGCACAGCTATCTCAGGTACTTGAACCAAACATTTCCGTTTTAGTTTTATCTTTGCACAAGGTGAAACAACTCTGAGCTAATTTCCTTGTCCTTACCAAACAGATTGAGACAGAGAAACTCCTAGCTCATCTTGTTGAAGCAGAGATGAACAAGCGATTGGTAACCCTCTATATACATCTCTCTCTCTCTCTCTCTCTCTCTCTCTCTCGTGCTTATGTTGTTTTTATGAAGATCCAAAACTGCATTTCCTGCATTGTTTATTGGTTCCTCTTGTGTCACTTCATTTGATAATTTTTAAAGAAATCTTGTACTAGATTGTGATCTTTTTGCATCTCATTGTGACTGCAGAAAGAAGGGACATACAAGGGAAAGAAATTCAATGCAATTTGCCATTTTTTCGGTTATCAAGCTCGGGGATCATTGCCGTCAAAATTTGATTGTGATTATGCCTATGTAAGTTCAGTTTCTGATTTAATTCTAACCTTTTGGTTTATATTGGTGAAACGAATTCCCGGGGCCCAGTGGTTTCATGATTGCGCCTGTTGGCGAAAAAAAATTAAATTTGGAGGGTAGAAATTTGTTTAATTTGTTCTCATAATTCTCCTATTTAATTTCTCTTTGTCGAAATACGGATTAGCCAACATGTCAGAGATCTAAAAAGTGATGATGATGTAATGACAGGTGCTTGGTCATATTGGCTATCACATAATTGCTGCTGGTTTGAATGGTTATATGGCAACGGTAACTAACTTGAAGAATCCTGTTAATAAGTGGCGCTGTGGTGCTGCACCTATAACAGTATGAATCTTTATCCTTTATCACTTATATATTGCTCATGGAAAGATCCTGATGGGAAAACATTGCTTGATAACATGTGAATTATGTAGTGGCAAAGTGATAATTCGTTTGCGACTTTTGCAGGCTATGATGACTGTTAGGCGCTATGGTCATGGTCCTGGGGCTTCAAACCTTGGAAAACCAGCTTTGCATCCAGCAATTGTTGATTTGAAGGGCAAAGCCTATGAGTATGTTTTAGTTGTTTCTCATTATTACCTTTTATTATCAAACCATGGGAATAATCTTTGAAAGAGCCACACTCCTGCCACTCCCCTATAATCTCAAAATAAAATATGAAGGAAAAATTTTGAAAATAGGAAAGCTCTTAAACCATTAAAAGGACTACAAATTATAATCCTTGGTAATTTTTTTAGAAATACAAGGAAAAAAAAAGAGAGAGACTAAAAATCCTAAAAAGCTGTAACAAACACTTGAACGAGCAAAAAAATAACTAACATGAATAGCCCTAAATCGGTTGATGAAGTTTTGCCGACTGTGTGGCCCAAGTTTTTACCTCTTTGAATGTGTAATATGGAGTTTATTTTAGTAGAAGGAATACAATAAGTAGCCAAATAATTAGAGTAATAATTGATTGATAAGAGATGGGGAATAATTGATTCGCAAGATCTTAAGGGAAATATTTGACTGAGATCTCAGCATATTAGTTGGGCTAATGTAGTGGCATGGAATTATGAATATTATTATACATATAAATAAAGGAACTCGAATAAATAATAGCCAGACCAGAAAATATATTTCATTCAACCTTTTCGCTTGGGCAGACAAATATTTTTCACACTGGGAGGTCCTTGTAAGTTGCAACTTTATTATTTCACGTATCTGTTTCTCTTTTGGAATGTCTTATCCAAGATAACTGGTTAAGTACTTAAAGCCAGTGTTTCACTTTGTTTGCCAGGTTATTGAGACAGAATGCAACCAAGTTTTTGATGGACGACGTGTATAGAAACCCGGGACCCCTTCAGTTTGAAGGTCCCGGTGCTGATGCTAAGGCTGTAACCCTTTGTGTTGAAGATCAGGATTATATGGGCCGCATTAAAAAACTGCAGGAACACCTTGACAAGGTAATTATATGCTCTTTCTTCTCTACAAATCATTTTTTTTTTTTTTTTCA